AACACTGCCAAGGAGACACGAGGATTCACACGTACGTATGAAATCACATAAGTGTCCTCATGTTGAAAGGCCATCCACTCACCAAACCCCACTCCATCGACAGCCCTCGGCACGGTGCGGGTGCAGCAGACGCGCATGAGCCAACGCCTCCTAGGCTGCGCTCCACTGATCCACAGCCCTAGCCGAGGAGTTCGTATTCTGGGTTATGAACTAAAAGCACTCAACTGCTCCCCTCTCCCCCAACACACAGGCAGTGCCTGGTGTAGAGGAAGAAACCAAGCAAACCAGGCTCCCCTGTTGTCACCTCCCAGTGTTACCGTGGGCAAGCCACTTTTATCTGGATCTCGGTGTCCTCACCCGACTCGAGTCTACACTGGAGAAAAGCAAGGCAGACTTCAAGACCACGCAGGGGCTGTTCTAGAACAGGACAGACAGCCGCGTGTGAGAGGCATCACAGGCAAGGGCAGGGACACACACCCTCCTGCCTTCCAATAAGGAGGCAGGAGCAGAGATGCTCCTGTTGATGGGCTGGCCCTATCCTCCCCCAACTACTGAGTCACACAAAACGTGGCCCTCCTACTGCCTCCCCCTCAAACATGACCCCTTCCCAGGAAGAGCACCGAGTAGCTGGCGATTCTGGTTCCACTTTTATGCCTCAGGGCAGTGACCTCTGAAGAGGGAACTCAGAGCCATTAAGACAGGAATTTAAGCCAAACTCACGAGGGGAAGAAGCTAGAGAAAAGGGAAAATATGTGACAAGCAGGCGCCAACCAGCTTTTGACCCGGGATGAAAGCATCCACATTCATAGAGGAATTATTCCTAAACTTGATCTCTTTTGGGACGAGGACAGAGAGGGCAAAGAAAGAGCTTTTCCAGTCACCCCACTATCCACAAGTGGATTTTCTTGCAAGCATTTCAGCTTATCTATTGTATCCCAGGCCTCACACGTTTTTCACAAGTCTCTCAGAATTACCAAACCAACTGCTGGCCGGGTGAGCGCCCTGGACCATTTTATCACCACTCAGAGGGAAAGGGCCAAACTGTCGCCATGGCAAAGGGTAAACACGCTCCCTGCGAGGGCCTGCGGAGAACACCGAGGAAGGGATCCCAGATTAACAAGGAGGGCCTGGCCTTGAGCAGACGGGACAGAGTTTGGAAAAGCAGAAACACAGCCGTGGGTCAGCAGGGCCAGGAGGAGGTCTGGAGAATGCCGACTGTTGAGGGGACAAAGGAGCAGCGACCAGCAGATGCACCCCAAGCCCAAGCCCAAGCCCATAGGGATACTATAGGATGGTGGTGCCGAGAGGCGCCGGTCCCTCTGCAGTACTAGAGGAGTCAAGGTTTCCCCGCTGAGAATCTGAGCCAAACAAGTGGACTGGGATGAACATCAGAGATACTGTTTCTTCTGCAGTTCCATTTATGGGCAGGAAATGAGCAGGGATTGAGATGCAAGGATTTGCTCTCATCTAATAGGAGATGCAGGTAGAAGTTCTGAGTTCAAATCCTGCCTCCACCATTTACTCCATGTTTGTGAAAAAGAAACTACAAGTAATGTCCAAGATTGTTTCCTTGTCTATAAAATAATAAAAACTATCTCAGGGAAGTGCGGTGGGCGACAGGAGATCATGTATATGAAAGGATTCTCATGATTCTGTAACCCATGGACTCTCTGAGCTCATCCTGCCTGGCCCACCCAGCAGACAGAGGGTCAGGCCACCAGCTCGGCACCTCGGATGGGCCGACCCTCCTGCTGGTGCCTGGTGAGGACACAACCCCACCCCACAGCAGCGGAGGCTCCAGGGAGCACCCCTCTGTGAACAGCTCAGGTCCTGACAGGCCCCAATGTCGCCACAGCCAGCCAACCTGCTCCTCACACAGCAAAGGCGAGGCGCCACTCACAGTTCCTGCCCTTGGATTCTCGGGAGGTAACAGGGGCTCTGCCCCCACCCCCCAAAAAACACTGCGATCCCTTTTTAGAAAGTGGTGATTCATTTTTCAGAGGTGCACACAAAACTACTTACAGCCTAGATATGATGTCTGGTACTTGTTTCAAAAGGAACAGGTGCGGCATAGATGGAACGCGGGGGTCAGAATTTGCTAATGTGTGACGCTGGGTGATGGTGCTCAGGAGGGCACTGCAGCATTCTCCTCTCAGTTAGTTTTGTTTTTTTGAATTTTTTGAAATGTATTTTTTTTAATTTTATTTTATTGCTTAAAGTATTGCAAAGAGTAGTACATATGTCTCCTTTTTTTCCCCACTGACCTTCCCCCGGCCTCTCCTACCCCCAGTATCTTGTGTCCATTGGTTAAGCTAATGACAAGTTTCAGGGAAAATGGGGAAGGGGACTCGGTAATCAGATCTTCCCTTTCTTCATCACCCCTGGTTGTGCCAGAAGCAGGGTCAGACACCAACACTATCTTTCAGGAAGGAGCAAGACTCATCCTACCCAGATGGGAATCCCGATCACAGAAAATAAATAATAATCATAATTGATAATCTATATATATAAAAGGCTAAGTGACCATGG